TTAATTTATAAATTAATTTTTAATTATTATATAATAAATATTAATTATTTTATTAATTATCACTTAAGTTTAATAATAAAATTAATATTTTTAAAGACAAAACTAATAAAATTTGTATGCATTTAATATATTATTATATGACCATAACAACAATTAAGTTTGTTTATGTTGTTAGTATTACTTCAATTGATCAAATGTAAGTTGAGTATTTTTAACTTATGCACTTGTGGTATATTAATTTTTTTTCAATAATTGTTATAAAAAATAAAAATTAATTTTAATTTTATTAGTCGCTCAATTAAAATTGTGCACATGTCTTGGGTGTTGAAAATAAATTTAATTTTTGTATTTTTTTATGCAAATTATGCAAAAAAACTACTCCATTTGTTTCACTTTAATAGACATTTTAAAAAGATTTTTTTTGTTTCTTTTTATTCGTGATCTCGCCTTTTATTGTATTATTCATTCTCTTTCTTCAATGTTTATCCCAATGTTTTAAGATTCGATCCGATGGTTGACTCAATTTGGCCATCAAATCTAGTTCAACCGATTCAAACGGTTTAATTGACTAATTCAACCGATCAACTAAAAAAATATGTTTAGTTCAATGAAATTCGCCATCAAAAAAACCAAATCCAAGCACGTCAAACCCAAATTCAGTCAATTTTGTTCGTACAAACCAAGATTTGATCTAATTGCATCATCATTGCTCTTTAGATCGCATCCAAACTCATATCTATCCTTTTGGAAGAATCTTATATCATGTAGTTGGGCATATCTTTGATGGTGAGCTTGCAATGGGAGAATAGGAGGTTTTGCACCTGCTAGCAGTCATGGTTGATTTGGGTTTTGGTGGTGTACTGAACATTGTAAGCTTCAATTTTAGGGTGGGCATGTTTAAAACTGGAGATGAAGTACTCACTTTCATCAAGGAAGATGGTGTAGCTGTTGAGGTTGAGGGAGTGCTAGAGAAGTGATTCGATAAGTGAGACCGAAGATGAAGAAGTGGCAAAAGGAGGAGCAGCGGTTAAGAGCCAAGGAAATGAGGGAGAGTTCAAAAAGGGTCATAAGGTGTTGGGTAAGCAATGGAGATCAGGTTGCTTTGTTGCTTTTGTTTAGCAGAGATCAAGTTGCTTGTTGCTTTTGTTCGGCGGAGAAGATGAGGCAAATTCAAAGGTGTGACTGTGTGAGCTTGCTTTATTGCTTTTGTGGTTTTGTTTGGCGTGGCAAAGGAGATGAGGATTGAGGAGGTGAGCCGTTGATAGAGGAGGAGGTGAGCCGTTGATGGAGGTGGAGCAGGGAAGGGATGTCTGTCGGTTTCTACCTCTGTATCTATTTCTTCTACTTTGTTTTCGCAGAATAGCTTTTGTTTTTCACTTTTTCATTTTTGATCTTCTATTGGGGTTTTTTAATTTAATCTTATTTAAGTTTAAAATTTTTAATGTAATAACAATGAAAAGATGTGATAAATTTGATAAATTACATTTAACAAAAAAAATTGAATCAAAGAAATGATAGATTCAATCTGACGAATTAAATGGGTTGGGCGGTTGGAACAGGTGAAGCGGGCCATATGGATTTGCGCAGGCCAACTCTCAAAATAGGTTGTGGCATGGAATCGGCTCGTTTTTAAGCTCGGGTTAGATTAAACCAATTCAATTGATCAAACCGAACCGAATCTTAAAACACTGGTTTACCTCCAGTGGTGCTCAAGTCCCACCGTTTCTTCTTCTTCTTCTTTATTGAAGGAGAAAGAATCCCTAAAAATGCTAGAACCATTAATATATTTTTCAATAACTATCTGTAATCCAAAGAAAAAAAAAAAAATCAATCTTTGCAATCCAATTTCGACCTCTTTCCACCATTGTTGCTTTCAATTAAGCTCCTTTGTTTCTCTGCAATCAATTTTTTTTCGTATTCAATCACATGATTAGATTTTTTTTTTTCCAAAACTTGAACAAATTTTCATGATTTGGTTGCTTGATTGTAGGTCTGAGTACTTTTCACATTTGATTTTACAAAGAATTGACCAGCTAGTATTAGTAAATTTGAATTCATCGATTAAACTTAAAATTTGAAATTAGTTGGAAGAACAGTTAACGATGATGAAAACCTATTTGTTGCAATGCAGGGTTGAGTGAAATCGAGTAAAGAAGCATCAATGATTATGAGTACTCTGTACTGTAAGTATTGATTATTGAGTTATCTGAGGAATTATAAGATTAAGGGTAAAATAGTACTTACACGCTATTATCTTTTCAATCAAGATCAATTAACTATTTCTTTAATTCGTGTGCTTTATCTACGATGTCTATTAAAGTGAAGTAGAGAGAGTTCAATAAATATATTATTAACGTATACTCTAAAGATATTAGATGTTAAGCATATATCAACCAAATCCTTCCTAATTTAGGTAGGATAATAAATGAACGAGTTTGAGGTGTTTAATTTTTGAGAATTTTTATATAACGGTTAGTTGTTAATTATTTCATTTAATTTGATAGTTAATAATTATTATTGATTTAAATAATCTCTTTTATGAATAATTTATTATTATTATTATTATTATTATTTTGAAATTGAGAAATTAGTTGGGAAAGAGAAAGTAAGACTTGAGAACCGTTTTGTTACTGAAATAGTACCAGTATGCATACCAATTTTGTTACTGGAACGATAATTATCCACTTGAGATGGTGTGTAATATGAATACATTACAGAGTATAGACCCAGTTCAATTTTCCGTGACAATTTTTTAAAAAATATATTTTTTTCTCTCTTCTTTTTCGAACTATTACATTTGGGAGGGTGAAAAGTGAAAAATAATTTTTTTTAAAAAATTGATTAAAAGTTTAAAATTTTATGACATTTTCAAGTATATGTATCCATATTACACGTGAAATCTTTGTCTCACGATAGAGGACAGGAGTTTGAGTTGTTAACATAAAGAAACAAAAATAAAAGATAAAAATATCAGTCAAAATAGTTAAAACATAGATATTAATATTTGTGCAATTGATTATTTGATCTAAAGTTCTAAGCTTACTGGCCACATTGAGCCCAATAGTAAAGGGTTTAATAGTCTAGCATCAAGGTCTTGGGTTGTAACCCAGTCATTGACATTAATCCCCCTCCCCCTTAAGTTTGTAGTGTAACACTCATGTTAAAATGTAAAAAAATTGGGTAACTTGGTTAATTCTTTACCTCATTAATTAATTTTTTTAATATTAAATTATAAAATAAGAAGATAATACTCTTTTTATTTCTTTATATATTTTAGTATATACTATAAAACTTAAATTTAAAATATTTTTTTTCAAAAAAATTACTTTTAAATTACGCAAGTTATTGATACCTTACTTATCAATGTTTAACTTTACATGGACCATGTTTAGATGGACCACAAATAATTAATGCAAAATTTTTAGTCCCGAAAGGATGACAAAATAGTAAACTTCCTGCGTAGGTAAGGAAGTTTCCTTAGATACTTCTCAGAAAATGTCCTTTTCTCATTTTACATGAGAAATTGCAAGATGGGACCTTCTTTTTTCCTAAATTTCTCTCTACCTTTCAAACGTAAGACTATCATCCATGACACCCCTTGAAGATTTAGTTAAATTGACTTCTAAGTCATGGTACTGAAGTTGGGTAATCCAGCACTTCTAAGTCAATGGCACGGAAGTTGGGGACAAGGGTTTTCTCCCCCATAATT